AGAAGATGAGCGCCGCAACGGCGGCGGCGTCGATGACGCGTGAAGAGTCTATGAGACTGAAACGCTCATGGTGAGCGTAAAAACCTTCGAGGGGAAGGATGGAGAGAATCTCCTTCTCTGGACCGTGAATCCTTCATGCCCATGCGATCGGCCCTGCTCCAGTCTGAGCATCAGCGCGTGGCGCTGGCTATCTCCAGGCTTGGAGGTCGCGCTCGCGAATGGGCACTAACGTGCGGCACGTCTGTTGACGCTGCATTTCCCACTTGGGATCAGCTGAAGCAACAGCTTTCGCGCGTGTTCGCGCCGCCTAATCAGGCGTACCGTATCCGGTCAAAGTTCCTTGCTACCCGCCAGGGTAAGAAGGATTTATTGGACTATGTCCAAGAGTTGAGAACTCTTATCGCCGGAATGGCGGTGGACCCTCTTCCGGAACTGGTCAGCGTGACCGTGTTCATGGAGGGACTTCGTGTGAGCGCAGCTCGAACGGAAGTGTTCCGTGTACACCCTAAGTCTTTTGAAGAGGCGGTGGATGTGGCATTGAATGCCGAGCACAACTTCAGGTCGGCGCGACCTGGTTGGAGCGCTGGTAGCGCAAGCTCTTCGAGCGGTCCAGAGCCGATGGACCTCAGCTATGCTGAAGATGAAGAAGCGGAGCTTCTTGCTGCGGAGCAGCGCGCCGGCATCCGCCGATGCTTTGTGTGCAATAGCACTAAGCACTTGAGGGCCTATTGCCCTCTGCGCAAGAAGCGCGAGGCTCCGGCGAGCCAACCCTCCGGGTCATCGCCGGGAAACGGCAACTCCCAGTAGGCGCGGGGCGGCCTACTGGGGAAGAACTGAGTTCTGTTGTGCCTCGAAGAGGTAGAGGACAACGGGGCTCAGCCCCGAAGAGAGATGAGCTCTCTTACGAGAAGAGTGTGTGCAAGCCGGGCTTGCTGGTCGTTCAAGCGAACGTGAAGGGCTTTGCAAAGCCATGGAGAGTCTTAATTGACTCGGGAGCCTCGGGCAACTACGCCCGTCGCTCCACCCTGGAAGGGAGTCAGCTGTATGCTGAGGCACTGGAAGTGCCAACGAGAGATACGATCTCTGTCCGTCTCGCGACGGGGACACTGGTAACTGTGTCGAAGGTCTCTGTCGACCTTGGAGTGAAGTTTGAGAACTTCGATAGCGTGGAACGCTGTTTGGTCTTAGACCTGGATGCGAGGTATGACCTCATCCTTGGCATGGCATGGCTGGAACGTCATGAGCCATGGATCGACTGGAAGTCGAAAACGCTGGGTGCGTCGCACCCTGCTCCTAGTGGAGCTTTGGTGAGTCATGAACCCACCTCTGCTAGGAAGCAGAAGCGCTTTTGGCGCGAGCACGAGGCCGAGGCGGCCGTAGTGCTGGACATTGGTATGTCCGAAATTGTTAGCAACGAGGTTGCTGTTTGCCCTGAGGGCGTACGTGGTGCGGCACGTTATCCGCGGAGCGGTGCAGGTCAGGTCAATGACAAAATGCTGGGTCCTGGTGAGGACGAGCGCGGAGTGGCGCGTAATCCACTGAGTGGTACGAATCTGGTCGATGACCTACCGCTGCGTGACCCGAGGGGCGCGGTCGACTGCGAGTCGAGGCATCATGGGCGTGGACCAGGAGATGCAGGTGAAGTGACACCTAGTTCACTGTGTGAAGGTCGAGGACCTCTCGGCTTTCAGCCGAGTGTCTTGCGAGACACTGTATCCTCTTCGAGGAGTAATGGTGCTGCTGCATCCGGCGGTGGTGACGGAGATGTCGCCACACCGCCCTCTTCCGGCCGGGCTCGGTCGCGGAGGGAGAGGAGAA